ACTTTAAAAATAGCATAGCAACACCCCAGCATCAAGACGGTGACTTTTGCATGGACGCCTCTCATATTTTCTTCAGGATCTGGTTTCTTGCGTTATTGAGTGATAGTGATTTGGTGAAAAAGCGATAAGGAGTAAAGAGACAAAGCCACCCGACACCTTACAGCAGCAGCAGAGATTACAGTAATGAGCTTCATGCATCACGCTCACACTCATTAACGGCTCGGCAAGCATCACATACATGTGAAATTCTGCCATTTCACATGATCCAATAAGGTTATGTAAAATAAACTCAACTCGAATATCACACCGCAGTCGGCTCTGCTAGTGTGTGCAACAAACCATTCATCTTCATATGCTGCTGTTTCTGACTTGAACATGTTGCGTTTTTAATTGACCTCATGTAAATGCTGACTTTTGCATGAGATCAACAGAATGAATTATGGGTAATTACTAGGATGGCGTTTAGCATCTCCTTTCTTTTTGTATCAACACACAAGATTGCTGGAAGATGCTGAATTCACATTATGAATACATGTCTGACTTATATTTATTAGTAATGTTTTGGTCAAATGACCTAACCCTAACCCAGCAAAACTCATTAAAGGAATAGTTCACCCACAAATAAAATTGGCTGAAAATGTCCTCACCCTCAGGCCATCCAAGATGTAGATGTAGTTTGTTTCTTCATTAGATTTGGAGAAATGTAGCATTGCATCACTTGCTCACCAGTGGATGCTCAAACAGTTTGAAGTCAAAAATGTCTTACTGATGGATTTGTTTCTTACAGACACGCAGCTTTTCGCTTCACTAGACATTAACTGATGGACTGGAGTGGTTTGAATAACTTGTGGATTATTGTGATGTTTTTATCAGCTGTTTGGACTCTCATTCTGACGGCACCCATTCACTGCAGAGCATCCACTGGTGAACAAGTGATGCAATGCTACATTTCTCAAAATCTGTTCTGATGAAGAAACAAACTCGTCCAAGATATCCTGATGGCGAGTAAATTTCCAGCAAATGTAAACTATTCCTTTAAGACTACAAAACAGCACTTGAACTTTTTGCTTTTTGAAATAAGAATTAAAAACCCAGAGTTTTTCAGCAGGTTTTCTCACGCCTACACGCTCAGATGACAAGATCGCCGTAAGAGCAGCACATGCCATCCGGACACACTTCATTGAGCATCAAGTCATCCCTACGGCAGTTTTATTAAAGATATAACAGACGACCGTAAAGGTTACATAAGAGTGTTATTATCTGTGCTCTGTTCACTGAGGGTCCCGAGGGGAAATCTGCTGGATTTATTCCTCGGCCCGTACAGTTAAAGAAATCAAATTAGCGTTTACTGTTTCTTAATCGAAGCTTGTGGATCACACGTGAGCCAAAGAAAAACGGTTTAATCTGTCTTTCTTACTTTAGCGTCAACCGCTCACCTCAATCACTGACCTTTGCTCCGTCACTCCGGTACATTATCAGTCTCAACAACCACCAAACTGCTCTCTAAATTAACTCAACCGGTAGGGGGGCAATTCTCAAAATCATTATGTTAAAAAAATGAACTAAAGCAGCATTAAAGATGATAAAAGATCATTTCTATGGCCACCAATGATGTTCTCATAAGGTCACCCGCTGTTTTTCTCCACTGCATGCTGCATAAATGATCCTCTGCTGAGTGTCATTATTTCAAGGATAAAGCCAACAAATCTAAAACGACATTTATGAAACTGACAGTTGAGCAACATTTGGAATAAACTGGAAACATGCACAACAATACATGTAGAACCAGTGTTGGGGTAACACATTACAAGTAACGCGAGTTATGTAATCAGATTCCTTTTTTTCAAGTAACTAGTAAAGTAATGCATTAATTTTACATTTACAAGAAAATATCTGAGTTACTTTGTTTTCCCATTTTTTCACTGACACCTCTCCTGTACCCGTGTTGAGAGAAATTGGGAGTGAGATTTATTTAATTTCACTTTTGGTGTGAAAGGGCCTTTACAGTTGCCAAAAATATAACTTTTTTAAATATTTTTTTTTTTATTAAAAATATATAAGCAAGCCCAGCCCAGGTGACAAAAAGTAACACAAAAGTAACATAATGCATTACTTTTTATGGAGTAACGCAATATTGTAATGCATTACTTTTAAAAGTAACTTTCCACAACACTGTAACAGTATGTGATGACCGTGAGTGATTACATGAAAATTACATCAAAAGTTATTTCAAATCTCTAGCAAACGTTTTTGAGTTGTCAGATGTATACAATGTGCAATGTATTTAATAAAAATAAAAAATGTAAATGCATGTGCATGATGTGTAGCTGCCAAATTAACAAAAAAGTAAATGTAACATATATTTTATTGGTAACACTTTACAATAAGGTTCATTAGTTAACTACTTTAGTTCACATGAACTAAGCAGAAACAATACTTCTACAGCATTTATTAATCTTAGTTCATGATAATTCCAACATTTACTAATTCATTATTAAAATCAAAAGTTGTGCTTGTTAACATTAGTTAATGCACTGTGAATTAACATGAACAACTGTATTTTCATTAACAACGATGAATAAATACTGTATAAATGTATTGCTCATTGTTTATTTGTGTTAGTTAATACATTAACATCAATTGAACCTTATTGTAAAGTGTTATATTTATTTATATGTGTGTGTATTAATATTCAGCAAGGACACATTCAATTAAAACATGCATCATTGTTTCCACACAAATATTAACCGGCACCATTGTTTTTAACATTGATAATAATTGTAAATGTTTCTTGAGCAGCAAAGAATGATTTCTGAAGGGTCACGTGACACTGAAGACTGGAGTAATGATGCTGAAAATCACAGGAATAAATTACATTTTATTTTAAATATATTCGAATAGAAAAATGTATTTTAAATTGTAATAATATTTACAATTTTACCATGTCCTCCTACTTTATGTATCATATGGACTGCGTGCTGCTTTGTCGTTTGTGTACCTCAACAGTACCCCTTCCCATTCACTTTCCCATTCAGACATTCTGCTAAACCTCTCCTTTTTAGTTCCACGGAACAAAGAACGCATTCAATGTTTGGAACAAAATGAGGGTGAGCAAATAATGACCATTTTTAATTTTAGGGGAGTAAACTATTCCTTTAAGTGTAGGTCAGTTCTGCTTGTAGTGGCACAATCTAACTGCTAGAAGTCGCCACTTCGACACGCAACTCCTCGGCTGTGTGAGAGGCGTGATACGCGTGCGCAATGAGTGAACGCACCGGGCTTTACTGCGGGACAGGGTCGCTCACCCGTCCGTTCGCTCTTCTCTCGTTCTGTTCCTCTTCATGTGTCCGTCGAGGCCGCAGCCTGTGCGTGCGAACCGGGGTGATGGGCGGGCGGGGCGGGTGGAAGCCGCTGGGAACACGGGCTCCTTCCCCATCGGGATGGTGAGCGAGCAGCTCCACCTGCGGAGCCTCATCTGGCAAATTGGATGTTATGCAACAACGGGTTAATAAAGCAGCGCTTCAGTTAGTGTTTCACTCTGGCTACTATGGTACCGGGTGCATGTTCAACACTCAAAGGATAGAAGCAAGGTTGCATTACGCGTTTTTCCAAACACCCAAGCGCGAGACACAAATCATTCACAGACTTGACATTCGCGTATTCATTTAAACTAGTTGCTATTTTATGTTACTAGTACTTATTTCCTTTTAAATTACAAGTAGTTAATCCTGATCGCACACATACATCACGGAGACGTCTATTTGACGTCTGCATTTACATCTGCAAGACGTATTTTTTAGAGTGTTTGCTCATCTGCGATACGTCTATAGGACGTTTCCTATCAGATGTCAAATAGACGTTTAGAAGATGTCTTGAAGATGTTTATGATTTAGAATGCATGTAAAACTGACGTCTATCAGATGTTTGTACACAGCAGATGCTTTCCAGATGAAGCGATCTTTAACAGACGTCTTGCAGACGTGCGTGTGCTATCTGAAGCTGTCATTCGCGTTCAGTTATTTTTCTTGTACAAATCAGTCCGTTTTTTAAATCATTGTCATAATCATAAACACACTGGTTTGTAGCGCAAACAGTTGTATCGTTTGCTGCACTTTGTTATGCCTAATGAATTGGAAGTCCCGCACATTCACAGAAAATAGCTCACTTTCGCATTGCAAAATAAGGTGAATAGGGTTCAATTAGTCCTGGAAAAATATATATTAGTAACTATTTAAATGGTAAATAAGTACTAGTACTAGTAAAACTGGGACAGGTAACAGGTAACAAGTAGACATACTACTAGTCATTCAAAATCTGCAATTAGTTACAGTAGCAGTGGAATAGTTATTTGTAACTAATGGGATAGTGAGTATCAGCAAGGAATAGCCTACATGCTTTTATGTAATCAACAATACTATAATTGATTAGATATTTGGATATTAGTATCTAGAACCTTATGAATATTTACCTATAAAATACTAAAAAAATATACTAGTCATCCATTGTTTGTTATATATATATATATATGTTCTGAATAAAAGTAAAAAAGAAAATATACTATTTAAAAAAATGGTGTAGACACAATTTCGGCTGTGTGAGAGGCGTGTAAGTAACAGTAAGTAACACACTGAATTAGAAATTTAGTAGGAAAAATGAACTAATAGTACTCCAATATCCTTTGTTTTACTTACATCTTGGTACAATGTACATACTTGTAATTGAAAAAAGGATGTATAATGACATAAAAATGCTGATTATATTTGGTTTTAAGGAATAAATGTCAAAGCAACCTGGCACAGACATGCTCAATCCATTTAGCCTGCACGATCCGAGCTATATTCCCACAGCAATAAAACATTTCAGTTTGTCAAAGCGTTGATGGATGTTATATGTGCATGCACAATAACAGCTCCGGAGCATCCTCTACCCCAGCCCAGCCCAGCCCACCCCACCCGCGGGGCAATGTCTCAAAGCACGTCACCGTGAGTGTGTGTGTGTGTGTGAGGAAGGAGAGGGAGAGAGGGAGAGAGAAAGTAGATGTGTGCAGACAACCTGCTCGCGCGTAATTCTGGGAGGACTCTCCGCCGAGCAACGACACAATAAACACTCACGGAGCCGCAAGAGTTTCCCCCGGTGGAGTAACAGTAAGCACTTAAATCACGTCACACCACCCAGCCAGGAGTCCATCATCAATCTGCAGCCATGTATCTGAACAGGGAGGAGGAGTACAGCAAAGGTAGGCGCTTTTATTTCTGTTGCCATTAAACTTGTAGGAGTATCTTCTTCTCACCTTGGACGGGCGCCTCTGGCACGGACGGGTCTGGTGGGCTCGCACGAGGGGGTTTAGGGGGTGCTATAGCTGGCACGACCGCATCGTAAGCACCTGTCGTGGGGTCTTCACTTCTTTGCCCCCCTTGTTTAACATCATTGTCCGAGCGCGCGCGCGCACTAATGACTGTTTGACATTGTCACGCGCTCTCGGGGCATTTGCATTGACAGCGATTACCAGATTAAATAACTTTGATTCCAGGTCCCGTGAAGGTCTGCTGTTGCGTAATGATACGCGTACGAAGGCTCAGTCAGGGCTACTTGTTGTGCGCTTCGTCCTTGACAGATCTTCGCGCGAAGAGGCTTGAGGAAGGACAAATGACTAAAACACAAGGTCAAAGCATCTCAAAACGGGCTCGGCGGTGCCTCGTCCCCGGTATCCGCACCATTACACGCGAACCTTGACGTTATGGTGAATCTTTATGCTGATTCCGTGGGCGTTTTGCTGGGGTATATACGGTGGGCTGTTATTTGTGTCAGCTCTCCCACGTGTTTCCGAAGCGTGATTCCCCGTGAATTCACAGGGTGGGTGTCCACTACAATTTTCCCCGGTGTCCCTCCCACGGTAAATGAATTCGCTTCGGAGCTCCGGAACGGAGGTGATTGGAATTAAGAGTGGAGGCGCGTTCGGGCTACGCCAGCAACACCTGCTGCTACCGAGAGCCAGAAAGCAAAAGACGGTGTTTGATATGCGGTAATGGCCGTGAGGAGATAATAACCATGGCGTGAATGAATCTGTGTGGGTTTGGAAAGGAAAGGTGGTCACGGAAGAGCCCATACAGGACAAACCCGACACAGAAACGGGATCTGGCTTTAAAAAAAAAAGGGTGTTCAATTTGTATTCAAAGTGAATGTACATTTACAAAGTGTTCGTGATAAAACGAACCAAATGTTGAGAATTGGTTCCCTGAAATAACCAAACAGGAGTCACACAATTAAGGAATTGTTCCATGTTTGCTTGGAAGGTTATCATAATTACTGTTATGTCATTCTAATTAAAGCAATATTTACTAGCTAATTAAGACATCATTTAGTCCATTTATGAGCAATTCCCATGAGAAAGTTCAGTTAGGCTTCAGTTGCTTTTTTTCTCATCCCGAAAAGGTTAGCAGAATGTGTCCGCTAGTGGCTGGGACTTTTGACCGTTTGAGAGAGGCGGGGCATAGAGGACCTACAATAATGTACAGTATTTGAAAAATAATGTGTTTTTTGAACATTAAAGCATATCAACATTTACACCAAATACACAAAATAATGATCTTTAAAAAAGCATCATATGACCCCTTTAAAAATTTGTTCACTGATTCATTCATTGACCTTTCTTGCCAGACGGTGACTACCAAGCCAGATAGCACACCTACGTCAAATCGCTTCATCTGGAAAGCATCTGCTGTGTACAAACATCTGATAGACGTCTCTCAACGCACTGGACAGCTGGCCAATCACAGCACACCTCGCTTTTTCAGACCGATGAGCTTTGTAAAAATTTATGCATTTCAAAAAGGCGGGGCATAGAGGAGAAACAATAATGTACAGTATGTGGAAAATAATGTGTTTTTTGAACTTTAAACCGCATAAACACATTTCATTACACCAAATACACAAAATAATGTTGTTCTTTTTAGCAGCATCATATGACCCCTTTAAACCATATTAGTTTAAACTGCTGATATACATTTTTCTGAGTGCACACATCCGAAGCACACGGACAGAAAGCGGCTGTCAA